GAGGGATTTCCCAGCCCTTCCCCCCCCCCGGGCAGCCCTGCCACTGGGCGCGGGGCCGTCTTAGGCGTGGGGCCCGATTCGGGGGAATTGGTGGAATTGGCCTAAAGCCGGCCCTGGCAGCAGGACACAGCTTTGCTCTTGTAATTCTCTCTCTTGATTTCTTGCCAGAGTCTCAGCGGAGTGGGGAGAACAGCTCCCAAAGCAGCGACATCCCGGGCTTCCTCAAACTCAGCTGGTCAGCTAAACAGCTGCCAGTGGTAAGCACAGTAGGGTAGGGTAGGGTAGGGTGGGGTGGGGTGGGGGGTGCAGGCTGGTGGGTATGTGCATGGGCAGGGGCTGGCACAACAAAGGGGAGGCAAGTGAGAAGGACATAGGCAGACTATAAGGAGTGACAGCCTGTAGACTTTGTTAGACTCCCTGGCTCCTCCACCCCTTCTCTGGTCCTGACTTCCCACCCCACTGGCTCTGAAACACACCCCCATCCCCTGTTCCCCTGGCATACCCATCCCTCTCCCTCTGCCCTGACTCCCTGGTGCTCCCTTTCCCTGGCTGATCTCCTGAGCAAGTTCTTTTGCACACAGAGTGAACCCAGTGGTGAGCACTGGGGCTTTAGCCCTTGTACTATAGGACAGTGGGGTCACTGTGATGTCTCTGTACCTAAGCCCAGCGCTTAGGTCCCATGGCTGTGTGGCTGGATTGGCGGTTTGCCGACCTTCTGAGAGTTGTTGTCTCTCCCTGTGCAGCTGAGCCCAATCCTGTCGGACCTGGAGTACCTGCTGGACCAGCACCTGCTCCTCAGCATCAAGGGCATGGACAGTTGCGAGTCATATGGTGTGTGTCCAACACCTCCTCTGGAAAGGGGGAGTGTTAGGGAGTGGCCAGGATGGCACATGAACCCCACAGAGGGCTAAGGTGATTTCTACAGGGCTCCTGTATCCTGGAGCAGCCCAGAGCAGGAGACCAGGGGGATCAGGGTTAGCACCTACATTAGTGAAGGGTCCAGGTCCCCCTGTGGCTTCACCTGCTCCCTCCTGAACCAGGGAGCAAGAGACTAGACCCAGGGGCAGCAGCAAAGTCTTCTCCCAGCAGTGCAGGGCACTGTCCTTCAGCCCCTGCTGCCCCTGGGACTCAGGGGGGAGGACCTGGGGGCCTGTAGATAGTGCAGGGCCCTGACCACCAGAGCAGGCCAAGAAAGGAGAGGCTGGTGCCTCACTGAGGACATGTGCTGTAGCCTGAATGTGGTGACCATGGAGACTGAGTCTTGTCTCCCTCAGGAGAAAATGGTTTCTCCAAGCTACTGGGAAACTAGAGGCACATCTGGAGTTTTGGCAGGACAGGCTACCCCCACCCCCCATGGACACTAGCTCTATGTATATGAACAACTCCATGTTCCTGGTGGGTGTCACATTGTGGTGTGGCATCCGCCAGTCCCTGGTCCTAGTACTTTTCCATGGGAACGTGAGAGTGTGGGAGGAGGAGGATGCTAGCTGCTGTCGGTGGGTGCCTGAGTGACCATGGGGTGCCCCGCCCTCTGAGGTGATGCTGTGCTCTCTGGGCAGGTGAGTGCTGCATTGCCATGAGATCTATGATTGGCAGCCTGGCCCAGCAGTTTGAGACTTTCCTCTTCCACCGGGGTGAAGAAACGGGCTCCATGCGTGGCTGGATGAAGGTCCGAGTCCCCAAGGACAGGCGGAGCACACGCGAGAGGCTCTACGGTAATACAGCCATGCCACTGAACTGCTGTTGTTTCAGAAATATGGGCTCCAGTTCCCTGCTTGGGGACCAGGGAAAACCCAGAGTAGCTAGGGGGAGCTCCCCTGCAGCCATCTCTTCTGCCCCAGGAGGCACCAGTACAGGACAGGCCTGGAATAAGTGGGAGTTCCCCTGCTGCCATTCCTTGTGCTCCCTTCCCTCTAGAGCTCCCAGCTGGGAGAGGCTGGTACTGGAGCAGTTGGGAGTTCCCACCATTTGGGCTAACAGTTCAGTCGAAACACTTTGCTGCATTCCCATTAACCTTTACAGTCTTTGTTCTCTGCAGAGTGGATCAGCTTTGAGACCGACGAGACGGAGTCTGACTTCCCAACCCTCTCCAAGCCAGCTCTGCGTGCCGTCAGGTAACTGCCAGCATGCCGCACCTTGGCCATTAATCTGCTAGGACACTTAGTGCTGCCAGTCCAGGGCTCGTGATGAGAGTTGTTTGGTTTGGTTTCCGAATGAGGGCGCACTCTGAGTGGGTGAAATAGCTGCTTGTCTGTTTGTCTTCTAGGATTGTCGGTCCATCTGCCCCACAGTGCCATGGTTGTCTCTCTGTTGCAGTGTTGGGATGTCTGTCAGTTTGTCTCTGCCAGGAACTGGGGTTGGGTTTGTCCCAGAGTGCTGGGATTATCTATCTGTTGGAGTTGTCTTTCTGGGCAAAAACACCCACTCGACTGTTGTGTGTTTCAGGAGCCGGCCCCTCAGCCTCCCGGATGCAGCCAGCAGTTACACCAATCCAGCCTATTTCATATTTGAGGGGGTCCCCAACACCTGGGCACAGTGTCCCAGCCTGTCTGAGCCTCCTTACAGTCCGGCCAGTGACACGCAGGCTGACAGACATCCGGGCCATTCTCCATGCCGCAGGCTGCAGAGCCTGACAGGAGCACAAGCCTACTCCTCCTCCAAGGAACAGCTACAGAGAAGCCCCCACTACCCTGTGTCCGAGACCACCTCCTGTGGGCACCAGCTCAGCCTCTCTCAGATTGGGAGGCACAAGAGGCCCAAGTCAGCCATTCTGATGAGAGATCCGCAGACATCAGGTGATTGTTCCCTCACTGCCCTGCACATGGCCTGGTGCCTCAGTGATGTGGACACAGAGCCCCCCAAGAGAGGAAGCTGCCTGGGCCCCAGCCAGCCAGAGGGCCGGAAGAACCTGCTGCGCCACACCCGCAGTGCACTGGAGCCACCACAGCAGAGCTGCTGGGAGGGGGCAAGGTCCCAGCGGGACACTCGCCGACTCAATCGTGCCGGAGAGGTATGTCCTGGGCAACCCACACTGGAAAGCACCAGCTGCCTTATGTGCCAGGGAGACATGATGCACCAAGACAAGACACTCCCAAGCCTGGCGAGGGCTTCGTGTTGGCCTTGAAGGAGCTCCAGGTGTAGGGAGGGTGTTAATGCACAAGTCTCTGGAGACCTATGTGTAAATGTGTTGATTGGGCATCAGCGAGCTTGGGGGTCTCCCATCCTAGTTCTCTTGTCCACACTGGGCACCACAGTCAGTCTGGCTCAGGGAAGGCCTGGGGCTGGAACAGCAGGTCACAAGGGAGGCACCTTAGAGGAGCTGTGATGGGGGATGAGCAGGGATAGAAGAGGACTGGATTCAGGAGACTCAGCAGAGCTGGGGCTAGAGTCGTTGCTTTGTAGTCCCCTGGCGTGACGCTGTTGGGCCATATCCTGGTTCTTCTTTCCTAGTGGCCCTGTGGCAGTGGTGATCACCCCCGGAGCGTTGGCAGGTGGCTGAGTCGCTTGGGCCTGGAACAGTATGAGGCGGGGCTGTATGAAAATGGCTGGGATGATCTGGAGTTCTTCAGGTATTGTAAGGATAGTGGTGTGTGAGGGCTCATTGGCTCATGTGTACCACTGTGCCTTACTGGAATAACACAGTCCAGCTCGTGTGCCCCATGGACATCCTGCAAGAGCTCTGAGTTCAGCATGGGGCAGGAGGAGAGTTGGGGCCTCCTAGCTGAGCCCTGGATGCAGAGCGCAGGGCAGAGACTAGGGGGAGATGACCTCTGGAGTCCCATGGTCCTTCCGTGTCCAATAGTCATAGGTGGTTGAGTCCCCTTCCTCCCTGCCTTGTATTGCATTGCTGGCTTCTCCCTCAGTTGCTCTCCCTCTCTCCCTTGTCTAGAAATATCACTGACCAGGACCTGCTGGACGCTGGCGTGCTGAGCCCCACTCATCGGAAGCTCATCCAAGCCAAGCTCCATGAGAGCAGCCCCAGGAGCCTGCAGCAGGGACCCAGTCTGAAACCAAACCCATAATGAATCTGGCATTCAGACTCCTCTGTGCCTTTTTAATCTCCTCTGGACAGCTGCCTGGTGCAGGAGGTGGAGCGCTGCTGAAGATGTTCTGTCCCTGGGACAGGGCCAAGATCTGGGGTCACTGAGCTAAGCCTCTGGATTGGAAATATCCCCCTTGCTGCCTTCCTTTGCAACCTTCACTGTCACTCTGATGTCATCGTGCATAATCTCCCCTGGCGGTAGCTTCAGAAATGCCCTGTGCATCTGGCTGAGACTCTGCCGAAGGCCTGGACCCAAAAGGACATTTAGCCTTGTGGTGAAACTGGCCACAACCCCAAACTGTCTAGCCGGGTTCCATGGAGGGGTGACTGGGAATTCAGAGTAGCCAAAACGTAACAGGGGAGCCCCAGCAGCTACTGAGACTCCAGCACTAACTTTTCTTCCTTCCCTTTTTGAGCCACAGAAAGGGCCTGACTTCTCCTCTGGTGGGCATGGATCCTAATGCTGAGCCCTGTTCCACTTACACCCAGCATAGAGGCATGATACACTCTGAGCCAGGGGAGGTGGGAGCAACAGTCCATGTGGCCACATCGCACTGGAGCTGAGACTTTCCTTGTTGAGTCTGATACAGCTGATGTGGGTGGTGACTCTACAACCTGGGCTGGCTGGGTACCTCTCCCAGTCTCTGCCCACATAGGTGCTGGAGCACCTGATGTGCATTGTAGCTTGGTCACAAGGGCTTGATTTCTCTAGGGTCTGAACTGAACCTTAAAACATCACATGGAGGACAGAGCCCCAGCGCTGCAGCATCATGGGGCCTCCAAGTGCGTCACAGGGGAGAACACTCTAGTCTAATGCACTTATTATGTATGGACAACAGCTTCTCCGAGTCCAGCCACCCTTGGGGGCAGAGACCTGGTCCCTCTGTGGGAGAACAAGGCTGCTTGCTCTGTCCCTTAGATGGCAGCTAGATGTTTGCAGAGCACCCCACATCCTCCTGCCATGTGCCTTCAATCACACTGTGTTTAGCTGCAGTTGCCACATGGAGTTTTTATAGGCTCCATATTGCTGGTTTCTCGTGAGATACACTTTCTGTTTCAATTAACAATAAAATCCCAAAGCTGCGAGGAAGCTCCACATCTAGTCCACTTTCTGGTTTCTCTGACAGGATGAAGTTGGTGCTTGAGGCAGGAAAAGGGTGACAGGATGAAGTTGGTGCTTGAGGCAGGAAAAGGGTGATAGTGCTGGCTAGAACCAGGCAAATTATGAACAAGGCTGGTCGAAGCTTTTCCTTCCAGCGAGCTCTAGCAACACATCCATCCCAGCCCTGACCTGCAGCCCTCCTGCTAGTCCTGGTCTTCCCACAGAGCTCTGCCTATGCCCCTCCAGCCCGAGCAACAACACCCAAACCTTTCCTAATCAAAGCCAAGTGTTGGCTGGTGACAGACATGGCGGGGAGAGGTGCTTGTGAGTCTGTGTCACACATACTGGAGAAGGCTGTCCTGGAGGAGCTTGTGTGCGTAGGTGATGTATGTGCCCCCCACACACCCACACCCTCTGCTGTGGTGACTTTGCTGTCTGGGAGGAAACACTGGTTCCATTTGCAATGTTGCCGCTGGTGCTTTCTGTCCCAACAGGTTATTTCCTGTTCCCAGCATGGAGCAATCTGTTTCTTAATATTAGAGCAGTCCAGCTGCGCCCTGCCCGTGCATAGAGATGGGCCTAGGTCACACAAGCCTCTGTGTATTGTTTAACACTGAGCTTCAGGGTGGACATTAAGCAAATATTTGGGTTTCCTTTGAGCATCTAGTCAAGCCTCTACTCAATGCCATGTCAGCCGGATGTGGGCATGTTTGTGCATCAGCCTGTCCGACTCCGGGGTGGGATAGCATGGCTGAAACATGCAGGGTGATTGGCAGTGTTGCTGGCTACACTTGCCCCAGATACCCATTCTAAGGAACTCTCCTCAGACTGGCCTGTAGGTGGCAGCACTAGTCTTTGTCCCAGGAATAACCCTGGGAGAGGTCGGGCCTCACTGGCACTGGTGTGAATCAGGAGTAACTCCTCTGAGGCCCCCCAGAGTTCTGCTGTCGGGTGGGGCTAAGTGGGAGGGCACTCAGGGCCGCTGGGCCCAGTTCAGCAGCACTGGAGCTGAGCTTAGCACAGGGACCATGGAGGAGGAGAAACCCCTGTAAGGTGCAGGGAGCTGACACAGCTGCCAGCACAGGTTAGAACAGTTCCTGAGGGGCTGCCCTAGCTGTCAATGGCTTGTGGGCTTTTCTGCCAGCTGTGAATACCAGAGTGTGGGAATGCAGCAGCCACAGCCCCTGCTGCTCTGACACATGGACTACTGGAGGTGCTGGGGGCTGAGCTAGCACCAGCTCCACTGACTCTGATTGCTCTGTACAGCAGGGGTTGCTCAGAGGGGCACTTATGGCAGCCTTACAGCTCCTATATACTGACATAGCCAGTACAAAAAATGGTGGGGAAATGCTGGCTTGGCCCTTTGTGCCCTGCCCAGCTCCTGCACGTGCCTGGTCCTGGTGGAACCTAGTGACATGGTTCCAGTGATGCACGCTGCATCAAATTCCCCACTGTCCCGATATCAACCCCTGCAACCTGGTGCTCACAAGCAGGGGAAATATCTCCTGTGGAGAATGTGCCACAGGCGGGAGACTGACATGGTCTGCCTGTCAGCTCCACACGTGTCCAACCTTCACTGGCTCAGGGACAGAAGCTGACGGTATTGTGAGGTGCCCCAGAACCCTGGCAGGCTGTAGCCTGTAGGGGGCACCAACGTGTGTCACCTGCTGCTCCAAGTCAGAGCTGTGACCCACACCTTGTATCTGCCCGTTTCTCACTTGCCGCTCAGTTCTGCTGCAGATGGGCAACTCTAGCTAATGCTAGGGACAAACAACACTTCAGGCTGTCCTTACTGGCAGTATGGCTCCAAGGTTCTGGCCAAAGGGAGTGGTGTAGGGTAGGACTCAGCACAGGGCAGGCAGTGGTGCTGAGTAGCGGGTGTGACACAGGCAAGGGGTATGGTACAGCACCGGGTAGGAATGTAGCACAGGGCCGAGGCTGAAAAGCAGCTGGCACCTTAGTCCCACAAATGGGAATCTCATATTATTCAGTTCAATTTTCTAAAATTATGCATTATTTGTTTTTTGATGACCAGGTGTCTGGTGATGGGATGGCCAGGCCAGGTGCCACAGGCAAGACAGCACGGAGAGGCAGGGGATCTGAGGCTGCAGAGAGGGCATGGAGGATTGGGGCCCAAATGTCAGACAAGGGAATGCTAAGGCTCAACATAAATGCTGGCTGTGCCTTTTGACAGCAGGTGTCAAGAGAGCGGGTCAGTGCAGAGCATCATTAGTAAAACCAATCTTCAAGGGCCGTCACAGCAAAGCAAGGGGTTCTGAGTCTTCTCCTGAACCAGGAGCCTTTGGCCCTGTCTCACCACAGCAGGAATCCAGCGGGTCCCCTTCTGGGGCTGGGAGAAGGTAGTGCTGGCAAAGGGAGGCAGGGAAGCTGAAAGGAGGGGTGGTGGCTCACCTACCTGTGATGGGGGATCAAAAAGCCAGTGACTTCCACTCCCGCCTCCTCCCCTCCCCCGACAAGTTTCTCACTGCCCTCCATTGCAGTGCAGTTTCTTTTCAGGCAGGCACCTGAGTCAGGGCACCCATTTCCCTGCAGCTTCCCAGCCCCTGTATCCCCACTCTAGTCTAATCAGTGGGAGTGTCACAGTGTGGTGAATCTACAAAGGACCAGAAAGTTTGTTGGGCAATCCAAGAGGCAGCGAAGAGAGAGTATGAAATGGGGCAGAGGAAGGGCAAAGGGAATGAATAAGCGGGGAGCGATGAGGCTGCAGATCAGGGATTCTGGCTGGGTCTGTGCCCCTTGGATAGGCAGGCTTCAGGAGGGGGTGTTCTCAGAAGTGCACATTGAGCTGGTGAGCTGAATGGAAGGAGGGAGTTGGCACTGACAGCATCTGGCTTCTGTCCCCGCCTCTCCCCACCCCTGGCCCTCCCTCTCCTTAGCACGTTGCTCAAAGAGCAAGCCTGAAACTTTGCAAGTGCCAGGGAGAACAAAAGCTGTATGGTGACCAGGAGGAACTGCAACACCGGCTGGCCAGGGATGGGATCAAGCTTGGGCCCAGCCCAACACAGGGACACACATCACCTGAGGAACTGACCCTGAAACCAGGGAGAGCAGGTGAGGCTGGGCATGCGGGGAGACTGTGGAGTTCCTGTAGGGAGCTGTGGCAACATGGCCAGCCTGACCCAAAGGGCCACGGAGAGGTACTGCAAGAACCTGCACTAGGGTGACCAAATGTCTTGATTTTGTAGGGACAGTCCCAATTTTTGGGTCTTTTTCTTATATAGGCTCCTCACCCCGATCCCAATTTTTGACACTTGCTGTCTGGTCACCCTTCTGCACAAAGGAGGGGGAGGGAGAAAACCCAGATCCTCTAGCTGTATTGGAGCCCTACGCCATCCTGTGGTGTTTAGGGTATGGGATGAATTGTTGTGCTGCCACAAAACTAACCTCCTATCAACACCAGAGGCTCAGAAAGGCAAATAAACCCAAGTGGGGGAGGGTCCTGCCCTGGAGAGTGGGGTTCACTCCAGAACCAGCAACCAGCAAAACAAAATCAGCTGGGGAAAACAAAGGGGCAGTGGCCAGGACTGGGGAGACAATTACTTTGAGGGGAACAAATTTAACTCCAGGGCCCACACAAGAAGTGCTCAGACACAGACTGTAACCGCTTTGAGGTTATCTTTTTGTTATCTGTGTGTACAGCGCCTAACACAGCGGGGCCCTGATTCCTGATGGGAGCCTCTGGCACCACCACAGTCCAAACACGGGTAATCGAACCCTCCCGAGCATGGAGTCCTGAGCTATCCCCTCCCAGCCCCACTGGCCCCACGTCCAGGCCAGCAGTGTTTGGGCTAACCTCAGCAGGCAAGCCACAATGGTACTATTCCTGCCCCTGAAGAGGAGCTGTCCCCAAGCTTCTCTAGGGATGGGGTCTGAGTTTTATGGGTGTTAAATAGAAATAGCTGAATGACTCACCGAGAGCAATGTGTGGCATCACCAGGCAGAGCCCGGCTCATGTCCCAACGTGGCTCCCTCCTCACTCAACACACCTCTTCCTCCTCACCCCAACATGGCTGCCTTCTTTGCCTCTTCTAACATGGCCTCCCCCTCCTCAATTCAACATGGCCACCCCCTCACCTTCTTCCTCACCCTACATGGCCACCTTGGTGTAAGATAGACTTGCTCCTTGCACTGATCTTTGAAAGACTGCACAGGTTCCCTCCTGCCTCCCAAAAGGCGTGTGAAGGGTGAAATCCCCATGCATCCCATTGCATGAGGGTCTGTTGGGTGGGAACACTGGCTCCTGGCATCTTTCTGCTGACAGAGAAAAGGAAAGCGCCCTCACCTCCCATCCTGCCTGGCTGAGAACCTGGGTCACTGTGGGGAGAAGCAGGCTGCATGTGACGTGTGTGGCAGTGTTGGGCTGTGTCTTTAGCTTCAGGGAAAGGTCCTTGGGGACCTGGCCCCACTGTGCCTGTTTTTGCTGCTGCTGTGAGGGGAAGGCTCAAAGAGAGAAATTGGGTCATGCTCCCCTTGTGACAGAACTGTGGCATAGTGATTACAGACCAGGGGCCTTACACAGGAAGCTTTTACATTACTTCCTCTCTTGTTTTGCAATTTCCTAGAGGAGTGTGGAAGACGATGAAGGTGCGCCCCTCCCTACTAGAGTGACCAGATAGCGAGTGTGAAAAATTGGGACGGGGATGGGAGGTAATAGGCCTCTATATAAGAAAAAGCTCCAAATATTGGGACTGTCCCTATAAAATCGGGACATCTGGTCACCCTACTCCCTACCCAGGTCACAGGATAACCCTGACTGGGTTTGTTCCTCAGCTGCTAAATCACCGAGATGCTTGTCTTTCTATCAGCAACTCCCAAATGCCCATCCCTGTATACAGTGCAATCTGCACTCCAACCCCCGGAGTGCTGGCTTAGGACACACACCCTTGCAATTTCCTGCCAAGAAAAGGTGCGTCACACAGATAGAACAGAGAATTATATCATTGGAAGGAGACAGGAGCTTTGAGCTGCTAAAGGAAAATCTGGGCTCTTTACTGACAGGCTCATTCATTTTATTGACACTTTTAAACTGCCTGTGTAAATATACAAACTAGGAGGCACCTGGAATAAAGTCACACAGTAGGGTTCAGTATCCTTTTCCAGCAGCGAGTGCAGGTGAAGGGAGTTTCATAGACTCCAAGGCCAAAAGGGACCACTGTGATCATCTAGTCTGACCTCCTGTACTGCGCAGGCCACAGAACATCCCCAAAATAATTCCCAGAGCAGGTCTTTGAGGAAAACATCCAGTCTTGATTTAAAACTTGGCAGCAGGAAGCATTTGGTGCAGGCAGTGGGAGATGGGTAGTGGAAGACATTTGACATGGGCAGTGGGAGATGGCAAGGCGTGTTGTGGGAGGGGGCGGCAGCAGTAGCGTAGCTAAGGGGGGTGCAGGGGAAGCAGCCGCTTCCCCTCAGCACATTTTCCAAAAGAGGCGCCTTAGTTAGGGGTTACCATGGCGCCAGCAGGCAGGGCCCACACTTCGCTCTGAAGCTTGGCCTGCCAGGCCAGCTGCTGGGCTCCTGCAGGCAAGGGTGGGCGGCACGGCGGGAGGAGCCACGGGAGGGGGCGGCACGGCCGGAGGAGCGGCGGGGGGGGGGCTCAGAGGCGCTTTCAGCGCAGAAAGACGCTTGCGTGCTGTGCGCCCTGAGCCTTGGAGAGATGGGGGCGCTGCGCCCTAGCGCTCGGGCCCCTCCCCAGCTCAGGCAGCAGGGCCCTGGGGTGGTATCCGGTGCCTGCGCCGCTGCTGGCGGGAGGGAGAAGCTGCTCAGTCTCCGGGGCCGTCTCAGCGCCCTGGAGTCGAGCCGGTGGGTGGGGAGCCTGGCTATGGTGCGCGGCTCCCGGCTGCAGCGCCTCGGGAGGCGAAGGAAAGCCCCCCGTGCGGCGCGGCGATGCGGCTGGGAGCTGCGCGTCGATGACCGTGGTGGGGCAGGTGGGAAGCATGTGGCCGACCCTGGCGCTGCTCCGCCCCCCGCAGTGGTTCCCTGCAGGGGCTTGTACCATCCGGCTGCCGGAATCCCTGAGCCTCAGCCGTCGCCTCGCACATGGCAGCCTGCAGCGCGGCCGGAGGAGCGGGGGGGGGGCGCAGCACATGGCAGCCTGCAGCGCGGCCAGAGGAGCCATGGGGGCGGGGGGACGGCAGGAGGAGAGGGTGGGGGCACAGCACATGGCAGCCCGCAGCACGGCCGGAGGAGACATGGGGGTGGGGGGCCCGCACGGCCGGAGGAGCCATGGGAGGGGGCGCCGCGTGGCCGGAGGAGCCAGCCACGGGGGGGGGGGGGGGGGGGGGGGGGGAGCCGGGGGGG